ACAAACCTCCTTGGACATTTTTTTCCTAAACGGCCTAAAAGTCAAGGCGAGAAAAATGTAGCGAAAAAGGCAAAGACCAGTGAGGATATCTAATTTATTTCTTTACACTCTCTTTTTTTTGTTTTTGTGCTATAAATATTTGATATTTATAAATACATTTTCTTATTCAAAACCACGTAACAAAAATAATTGGGTTTAGCATTTTGGAGGTTAGAACGGATTAATGGTAGTTCAATTGTTTTGTATGGGGAAATTTGCTTCGAGATACGAATAATTCAATATACGAGCAAGGTTGCGGAATGAATTAAACTCGTATGGCGAGGTATTTCTATCCACCTCATTGTTGTAAGGGGACCCTCCCCTGATATTGGGCAAAGATTTGTATTTTTTGTGGGGGAATGAAAAGGCGTATGAACTTGACTACTAAATTTGTTTATTTTTTTAAATTTTAAAAAGGCAAAACAAGGAAATTCAAGGTGACGGCTGCAAAATGACGCTTTCCATCGGCCACTGCGCGAAAAACATGGCCCAACAACTTCAAGCTTACAGCCTCTTATGGTATACTAAAATCGAAAATCATTGTCATTACTTGAAGATCATGAAATTTTCTACATTCTGAACCTCGTTGAAACAATATTGACCTTAAATTTATTGCATAATGCTCATTGCAATTATAAAGTTGAATTTTTTGTTAAAAAAAATATAAATAATTAATTACTAATGCTAATCTGAGGTTCGAGACTCACAAAAAACTATATATTTTGAAACAGTTTTTAGATAAAAAAAAATGGGAAAACGCGTACAAAATTTTTTGAAAGTTCGCAGAGCGCGTGAGACAGGTGTGTTCGGGAAGCTGCAATTTGAAAAATATTCATCGTATTGCAAAATCCTTGTACACACATACTCCACTAATACATGGCTTTAATTTTTTGCGATTTTTCGATTCAAAATCAGGGGAGGATTTCCTTAAATAAATTAAAAACAAATATAATTGATCATTTCTAAAAAAAACTTATGTTGTAAATTAATTTATTATAGCAAACCTTGTTTATCATAATTTAGTAAAATCGAATATAATATATAAGCACCCTAACTTCCAGAAATGTGTACGTTTTACACTAAAATTCACTGCTCACTACTCATTCACTCAATTAATATTTTTTATAATGAAATTTTTCAGAATTATTGCTGATCTAACTTCCGCTTAGTCAATCACATTTACATATTTATTTGCTTTTTTATTAAAGGTTGAAAGTCAATTATACCGCAACAATTTCAGTATTTGTGGGTTATTAGTATAAATATGTATGTTTGTATGTTAATAAGTTAAGAAAATGAACTGAAGAATTAAATAAATATGGGGAACAAAATAGGTTTGGGTAATAGTCGAATTATTTAGCACCTCCAGTCCAAAACTTCCAAACATTTAAACCAAAATATTTAAAACTTTACTGTATGCACATAAATATCTAGTAAACGTGGGGCGCCTTATTCGGAATGTTCCATAAATGGTTTCACAAAATTGGATTAATTGCCGAATGGTTTTCAGGTACTCAAATAGTGCTATTCATATTTTTTCTGATAAACTTTTTTTCTATTAACTTTCAATTAAATCACAGTTATGTTGCTCTAGTAAAAAGTATTCCATTATTTTTGCAATATACGACTTCAGTGATCGTAACACAATCGACCCATTTCTGAAGCAGATGCTGACTTGGAATGAAAAGTGGAGAACTTAGAGCAACGCCAAACGAAAACGGTCGCCGTCGGAGGGCAGTGAGCTGACACAAATGGTCCAGGTCAGTATTGATGACCAGGATGGGTTTGTTTTATATTTGGTGGGATTGACAAGGAATCACTCATTATGACCTGTTCTCCTAGGGCCAAAATTTTTATTTGTATCTTTACTCAACAATTGAACTATATGAAGGAGGCATTCGCCCAGTTGCCCAGTTGGAGAGGAATTATTTTCCATTAGCACAATACCAGTCCACAAATATCGATAGTGACTCGCCTGAAGCTCCGAGTGTTTTATTGGTGAATTTTATACATTCACCTGTTCCTGTATGGCGCGAATGATTCGGACGGTAAAGAATTGGCTCAAGAGAATTCTGCGAAAATCGATGGTCCATTTCTTTGAGAGAGACATAGTGATATTACCTTCAAAATGGGAAAAAGTCATGGAGCAAAACTGTGCATATTTGGCATAAATCGGATAATTGTTATTATGGTAAAAAAATAATTCAATTTAATGAAAAAAAAATTTATGACTTTTTACCGGACCTAATATAATGAGGTGCGGAAGCTATTTTTTTGGGGTTACCTTTTCATGAGTACCCATATTAGTCATCCTTCTCACAGTCTTATTGTTGAACAAAAGCTTATTATTTTTGGCTTATGGATACGATAATCTTTTTGTTGCATCCTTAATGTATCATACTTGGAATCCATATGTCAATAAGCAAGCACCAATAAAAGAGCTTCAACATGAAAAAAAGGTTGTAAAATTAAATCACACCACATCTTCATCGATTTCAAAGCCACACTCGATAGCACGAAAAGAAGCTACCTTTGGCCGCTATGCCTGAATTCATTGAAGTCTATATAGTATCATATATATATCTGCCGCTTTGTAACCGCGGAAGCGATTTTCGGCCGATTGATGGTTTTTTATGAGGAGCCTTTATTTCATGTCCGAAATATACTCGGAGGTGTTGACATTCCCTGCCGAGGGGCGACTGCAATTAGAAAATTTAACTTAAATTTTTATTTAAATTAATTTTCTATAACTTTTTGGGTGTTAGTACGTCACCAGGACTTGAACCAGCGCCTACCTAATGCAGTAATGCAGTATTCAAATTATTTTATTGGCACCGGTAGATCCTAAAATGTTGAGCCCGATACCTTTCTGGGACCGATTCAGTACACTTATAGTTCTAAGGCATTTGGTGTTGGAGGCAAATTTCTTATCCAAGTTTTAGCAGCAGTGGACAAGCACCAGGTGTAATTGGATTAAGCTGAGCGAAATCTAAAATTTTCAATTAAAGCCGCATTAAGTGATGGAAAATATAAAAAATAGTACTTTCTAAACTCTTTAAAATTTTTTACTACAGCCCGTTTGTAAATGTACTCTGCGGCAAGTTTTGCATAATTCCTATTGTTTCGGTAATCTTGACTCTCACTGCAAGCGAAAATTTTTCTTAAGACTATAATGACCAACTACGTCTCACCACGCCTCCTTCCTTGTATAATAAATATCTATTTCGTGGTTTTGAAAATACAGGGCTTTATTTTGACATCTGTTTAAGTAGACTGCCAAACCAGACATGGTTTGCTTTAGTTAAAAGCCGAGTGATTCGAACGTCCTACTGCTCAAGCAATTGGTAAAATTTAAAAAAAATTTGAGGAGACTCGATCAGAAACAAATATGTTAAGGCCTATTCATCATCGCTTTGCTCGTTCCGCCTGAAAAGTCTAGCCGAAGACCCGTATGTGTCTATTTCATGGTATTTTCGAAAGCTGGGGTCTTTCTTACACTTACATCCATACAAAGTCCAGAGCACGCAACAACTGAAGCCCGTTGACCATTCACAACGCCCTACATCTGTTTATTGAGTGCTCGAACAACAAGCAGTGGGCGCCAATTTTGCGAACAAAATTTTCTTCAGTGACGAGTCACATTTTGCACTCAAAGGTTCTTAATGCACATTGAGGGATACGGTAATCTCCAGCATCGTAATCTCTCGTCTTGGCGTTGTAAATTGGCCACCGAAATCATGCGATTTGACACCGTTGGACTACGCGTGTTTATGTGGATAAACATTTAACTCTTGCACACTTGAAACCAGGACTCGTTAAGTCTTGCCGAGATATCCTCAAATATGTGCAAAAAAGTGTTCGAAAATTACCTCAAACGGATCGAAGTTTGCAAAAATAACGAGGTAATTTAAAAAAAAAAAAAATTATTTGAAATGCTTTTTCGTTACATTTAATTTCAAAACCGTCAAATGAATAGCCTCCGTCTTCGAAACACCCTAAATATTTCCTACAAGGATTTATTTTTTAATATTCTTTATAGTAACTAAGGGCAACGTTGTACTGAATACTGAAATAATATTTTGAAAACAAAAACAAAATAAGTAGATATTTTTAATTCTAATATATATGCAAATGTATTTATATACTATGTATTTATATATATATCTATTATTCTATTTAGGCGCGCAGGTATTTACAATACATATACCATACACACACACATTGAAAAAAAATTTTTGTAAATCTAAAAACCTGTTATTATATGTATGAACACGCGTGTTTGTAAATATGTTCATTTGTATTATATATACGAGTACATACATACATATTTAAGTTTTGAAAATATTGAAGTGCCGCTGTGTTTTTTTTTTTTTTTTCAAATTAACTCAGTACCTTGACCACCACTACAGCGGTGTAGCCCAGCTGGTGAGCATGAGCTGCAATATTTTAATGGCAGCTGTTTGGAGTCACACTGTCAAAGTGACGTCATCACGCTACGCATGGCATAAATAGATAGACTACATAGTAGGTAGGTGTGTATGTATGTAATGGACGCACTGGAGCAGAGCGGAGCGTATGATGAATGTAAAGCTTCAACGTCGACAGCGCGCTAAAGAACGCTCTTAAACGCCACAAATATAATATTAGCGTAGGAAAAACAATAACAATGCATCGAGCCACAATGACAACAGCAATAGCGACAACAGCACATTAACGACCGCTGAGGCAGTGGCAGCGGCAGAGTTGTTGGTGGCAGCGATGGTCGACTTCATTGAAGCATATTCGTGAGCTTTTATATCAGTCTGCGTTTGAACGTGTAACGAAAAAGTTTTCAGTTATTTTTTTACTGGAAGTGAAAGTGGAGAAAATAAAACGGAAATAAAAGCGAAAATTGTTTTTTTTTTTTTAAATAAAAAATAAATAATAAAATAAAAAAATTGAAATTGAAATGAAAATAAAATTTTATAGTAAATATTTATACGATTTTAATAAGATAAATTTTTAAATAAATATTTTTGCGTGCGAAGCAAGCATTATTTTCCATAAGAAAATATTTTGGAACGAAAGCAAAAAAATTAAAATAAAAATAAAATAAAAACAAAAACGTTTTCAAAATAACAAAACCGAAATTTGTATTAATAAACAGGTGCGTGTGTGTATATACGTAAATAAGTGGTAGACCGCTAGTCAGTTTTGCATTGTGTGCACCACAGCTAATGGACTGCTTGCCAAAACACCCACACATTAGACGCCAAATTCGAGATAATTTCATTTCTGCTTGATTGCGGTCTGGCAATTAATGCAAAATAGAAAAAAGTCAAGAGAAAAAAAAACAGAAAAAAAAAACAGAAAAAAAATTGAATTGGTGAATTTTATGAGGTTCTTTAATTAACACAAACATACAAACGCGCATTAGCAGTGCATACTCAATTTTCGTAAAACAAGTGGCGGCATAGTTGTAAACAAATTTCACTCTAGTGTGCAATTGTGGAATTTGAAAAATAAATTTAAATTTTGATATTTATGAGAAAAATTAACAGCTGTTAACTGCTAGTGCCGATTTAGCAAATACAAAGTGTATTGAAATAACAAATCTACTCAAAGTACTACATAAACAAATACCTACGGTAGTACAATACTCGTACAATCTAATAACATTGCTAAGAAAATAAACAAATAGTAAAACCACTCCGGTAAAAATGGGTTGTGCCACGACGACCATTAAAATATCTTCAATTCTCTTAAACACACTTTTGGCGGTAAGTTAACTACAGTATATATCTACGAACATATGTATAAACATTCATAGTTTGTTGATTTTACGTTGTTGTTGCTGTTGTTGTTTTTTATGTTTACTGCTGTGACACTGATTGATTCATATGTGCGTTCTGCGTTGGTGGTGGTTGTATTATGATGTCATGGTCAAACTGAAAATGAAAAAAAAAATAATGAATGGCTATAAAAACTACAAGTTATTGAATTCAAGCTTGAGAAAAAAGCAAAAAAAAAGCATTTCTAGTTTTTACAAGTACGGTCAATATTGTTTAACCAGTCAAAACGTAAAGCTTTCCACACGAAATTCTTAAATATTTCTTTTTTAATATTATAATATTGCGTTTATTTGGCTTAGAGGACTGAAAAAATTAAAGAAAATTGCACAGTTTTAGATTTGGTTTTATTTTTTTACTACAAATTCAGCAAGAGATATTTTTTTTTATTTTACACCGAGCTCATGAATAAAGTTCGTCATAAAAATAATTATTTCTTAAACAATATAAAAAAAGAGTTCATTTTATTCGTTTTTTGCTTATACATTTTATTTTATTAAATAAATTGTATTATAAAAAAAAGATATTTTTTTGAAATTATTTTCAAATAATATATGAAATTTATTAAAATAAAATCGTTTAAAAAATTTGGTGCATTTTATTATTATTTTTATTTATATAATTTTATTTTAATGGCTTTGGTGGTCTTTCATTTTCAATTTTTTTTTGTCGGCTTAAGGTCGATATGAATAAAAACACAATGTGTTTTATGTTCTCCGATATGTATTTCTGCTACACATCGGTAACCGTTTTCAAGGGGGGAAAAAATTGTTTACACGTTTTTTACCGTCGAAATATATAGGAGATTCTAAAAAATTTTGTATTTATATTCATATCGACCTAAAGCCGGCAAACAAAAATTGAATTATTTTCTTTTATTTTATTTAAAGTTATTTGTGTTATTCATCATTTTTATATTATATTACTTTGCTTTAAATTATTTTATTTCATTTTTTATTTAATCTAATTTAATTTAAACTTGTTCGGTCACTTCAGCCGTGTAGACAATTAAGTTTAGTTTACTTTATTTTTTTTTTTTGAATATTTTAATTTAATTTAACTTAAATTTATTTCTTTTTTACTTTATTTTAAGTTTTTTATTTTAATTTAGTTTTAGTTCATTTCTTTACATATTATAATTTATATTTTTTTTAATTCTATTAAACTTTTTTAAATTGATTACATAAATTTAGCTTGTTTTAGTTGCTTTTAACTTTCATTATTTTATTTTCGCTTTTTTGCTTGCTTTTATTTTGTTTAATTTTCTTTTATTTTAGATCATTTTATTTTATTTTATTAATATTAAATTATTAATATATAATATTATACTGTATCCAATTTTACTTTTATTTACCTTATTTTATTTGAAACCATTTTTTGCTATTTAATTTTTTCTTTATTTAGTTTTATATTTATTTATTTGTATCTTTTCTTGAATGAATTTTTTGTTTTATATTTTTAATTTCAATTTTTTTAAATTTAATTGTATTTGTTTTGTGAATTTTTATAATTTAACATAACTTATTTTTCTATTTTCTATAAAATTTATTTAAATGTATTGCAATAATTTACCATTTTATTTGCTTAAATAACTTGTTATTATTTTATTTTTGTGCATTCATTTAATTTATAGTTTGTTCAATATAATACCTACTTATAATATTCAACTTTATTTTAATTTAATTTTATATTATTACATTTTCATTAACTTTATATATTTTTATACCATAATTTTAATTTTCTTTATTTTTTTTTGGTTTGGTATGAAGTTTTTTCCTTTCATTTTATTTTATTTTTTTTAATCTTATCTTATTTTTTATTTCATTTTGTTTGGATTTTTTTCTTAAGGTTTTTATCATTTTATTCATTTTATTTTTCATTCTGTTTATTTTATATTTTTATTTTATTAAATTTGAAATTATTTTATTTTACTTTTTTTATCTTTTTATATTCCCTTTAATATAATTTTTAAGTTTAATTTTTTCTATTCTTCAATTTTTTCTCTTTTTATTTGTATGAAATTCGGTTGTATTTACTATGTATTGATTACTATTATTCTTGATTAAGTAAAATAACTTGATTCTTCAAATTTTTATATATTATTTAATTTTTTTTTTTTATTTTAGATTTTATTTATTTAGCTTTTTTCATTTAAAGCTGGTGTCGTACTAACATCCAAGAAGTTATAGGAAATTAATATAAATAAAAAATGATGTAAAATTTCCTAATTGCTGTTAAATTTTCTAAATAGAGCCAATTATATATATATAAGTGATAGAACTTGGCGATTGGATATGTCACCCAAGACGAGGCTGGCACGTAGTCACGTATTAACAGCCCCTTTTTATGGCTAGATTCATAGATTCTTTGGAAGGAATAAGTAACTTCTACACATCTGTTTTATTCAATTTTAGTTTGTTTATTCAATAAATTTAATTTGTTTTTTTTTTTTAATTTTTTTCCAAATATTTTATTTATTTATCTTTTTTATTTATTTATTTATTTTATATCATAATTTTGTTTATTAATTTTATTTCTATTTTATTTTTTATTTTATCGAAATTTATTTATTTAGTTTATCCAATTTTTTAAATTAATTTTTTTTATTTTATTAAATTTTTATTTTTTTAAGACTTAGGTATATACATACATAAATTTATTTATAAAAAAATTCTAATCTTTTAACATACATATATTATTTATAATATAAGCCTAAAATAACAAGGTTCAACTTTGCACTAACATACATACATATGTACATGAATGTATGTATACCTAGTCTATATATATTTAGTTTGGTTTAATGTCACGACCATAATGAAGAGTTAACATAAATTAACATAGGCAAAGGTTAATCATGAGTGTTTTTCAAAACTGCCGACAGCTCGAATCTTTTTTTTTTTCAAATGTACATGTATGTACGTATACTTATACACATATTTTCGTATGTGGCTATTTGTTAGGAAGATCACTAATGCAAACTTTAATTTATATATTTTTGTTTATACAAATGTTTATCATAATATGATCATTTTGAACATATAAACAAACATATGTACCAATATATGTATGTATAAATATACAGCAACGCACGTAATCTTATAACAAAATATTTTGTGTGATTTTGTGGTAATGATATTCGATATGATCTTTTGTGTTTTTTTTCTTCTAAACTTTTAATGTATATATATATATATATATATATATATATATATATATATATTTATGTTGCTGTGTTTGCTAAAGCTCAAAAATTATTATAATACCAATATCATTGTTTACTGAACTTTTGCTCATACAATTTCAGTCAATGAACGCGAACAATAAGCAAAACTTTAACTTCTTACACATACATACATACATACATACATACATACATACATACATATGTGTACATTTAACAATAGTTTTTCGTATTATTATACAAAACAACTGTCAAATCCACCACCAATAGTATGTATGTATATATTTACATACATACGAGTATATACGAATACGTGTGTACTAAGCCGCATATGCGCCTAACATTTCAACCGCCACACCACAATTGACCTATTTATCGTTAGTTACCAGAATTTTCCGCCATAACATACCCATACATACATGCATATATGGATATACACAATTACATCTATATGTAATTGTGCTGGGAAAAGCTAATGAAAAACATGATGACAACGCCGACTTTGGCGCCACCCTTTCCATAAAAGAAAAATGAGCTTAACTTAGTCGCCTGCGTCGTGTCTGTACCTTTCTGGCTCCACTCTTGGTATGCTTTCTTATAGTGAATCGCATGTTTATTACGCAGTTATCCAATGCATACGAACCGTGCACTATTTATTCATTATGTGTATGTGTGTGAGTGTGGGGAAAATTTCGTTGTGGCGGCAAAAGTTGAAATTGAATTTCCGTTTTTAGTAAAGAAAAGCGCTGAATGCTACATTTCACACGCTCGTTTCAATTTGATACGCTAGTTAATAAGAAGCTTTTTTCAATTGCTCTAATTTACAGTTATTTATTTAAGTATACTATAACTTTTCGTTTTTCTCTTGCTTTTCTTGTTTTTTTTTGTTTCATTCTCGACTTTTATGAGTCTTCATTAGACGATGGATATTTTTTTTTTAATTGATGCGACTGCAGCAGTTTTTAATTAAAATTACTATGTTCATTGCATGAAAATTTAATAATGTAGCAATTTATGCCTGTTTGACCTTTATATATAGCAAAATTCACAATTAAATATCTACTGCAAAATATTCTGTTATAATGATGAGTGAATTTTTCTCATATAAAATGTAGCCTATTAAAGCGGTAACGAAAAATAAATAAAATTTGTATATGAGAGCATGCTATAAATCTTCTTCTTCTTCTTCTTCATTGGCGTAGACACCATTTACACGATCATACTCGCATCAACAATAGCGCGCTATTCATCTCTTCTTTTCGCTGTTTGGCGTTAATTGGAAATTATAAGTAAAATTAAGTCACTCTCCACCTGATAATTTCGACGGAGTGAAGGCTTTCCTCTTACTCTGCTCCCAACGGCGGGTACTGCATCAGATAGTTTCAAATCTGTTGTGCTTTGATCCATTCGGATGACATGACTTAACATGACTTGACCAGCGTATCCACTGTCTCTTTATGCGCTGAATTATGACATCGTATAGCTCGTACAGCTCATCGTTCCATCGTCTGCGGTATTCGTCGTTGCCAATGCGCAAATGACCATAAATCATTGTTGCGAAGACTACCAAGACCAGCTCATCAGAAGTCGACATCGTCTATGCTTCTTCGTCATATAGTAGGACGGGTATACTGAGCGACGTTTGGAGTTTGACCTTTAATCGTCGGAGGCGGATTTACTTTTCATTTCCTTACTTAGGCCAAAGTACTATCTGATGGCTTTCAAGGCTGACATTATTATTGGAGTTCATACTGGTTCCAACATGGACGAAATTATCTACAACCTCGAAGTTATGACTGCCGACAGAGACATGGGAGCTGTGTCACGAATACGCTGACTGTTTGTTTGCTGGCGCGCATATTTTATCTTATTCTCCCTCACTACTAGAGACATATCTTTTGCTTCCTTATCCAGACTGAAGAAAGCATAACTAATGGCGCGGTTATTGAGGCTGATAATGTCAAAATCATCGGCAAATGCCAACTGGTGTACGCTTTTATAGAAAAATGACACCTTCTCTATTTAGCTCCGCAGCTCTTATATGTCATTAAGTAGAAAAAGTTAGAGAGTTATCATGATTGAATTCTCGTTTGGTATTGAACGTTGCGAAGAAGTCCATACCAATTGTTACTGTGACATTAGCCATTATTTACTTAACGGTAGCAAAAATCAGCCAACGAATCGGTTTTAGAGACATTTTTTGGAAGAAAAAGTGTTCCTCAATTTAGGCAAAGAGTTATCTGTGTACCTAATTTTGCGTAAATCGAACGATTTAAAATTAGACTAAATTTTTTTGAATAGATCATTCCGAGAAGCATTTCAAGTACATAGCCCAACAACGAACAGTCTCTTCAAGTTTCTGGTTCCTATGATCAGTGGTTTAGGTTGTAGCTTGATCTGTCAGTCATTCAGGAAAAAGCCTTATATACTATATATGTATGGAGATTACAAATTACTATTTTCTAAAATGATTCAAAATGTTCGAAAAAGCTTAACTTTTTTCTATAAAAGATTAGACGCATTCAGAGGAATGAAATAATTCTGTAATTTCTTAATGTTCCAAATATAAAACTATGCCGTCAGTTCAATATTAGTAATGAACGAGTTAGCTATTTATGGCTGTATACATATATATACACACATACATGCATTTGCATTGTATTAAACTGATTCACAGCTAAAATGACTAAAATAACTTGATTAAATTATTAAATATGCACATTTATATTGGCTGATTTCACGTCTAGTAAGTCCAGCATGTATGTATGTATCCATGTATGTGTGCTACAAACCAGCAAAAAATATTATGTCATTTCAAATACAGAAAATTGGAAATTTTAATTTAAACACCACCAACAAGCAACAAAAGAATTTAATATAATTTTTAAGAGTCTATTGAATTGAGTATTGAATTTTTGAAAATTTCCACAACATTTAAAATAGTTTAATACAACAAAAAAGAAAAAAACTCTTCTTCGTCTTCTTCTAGTTACTTAGTATTGCCACCATTGTATTGATCGCCATCAATACGGGTTCCGTGCCAGACGAATGGGATGTGCCGGCGTACATCATTTTCGCATTAGTCATACTGTTCGCGATTATCGGCTGTGTGGCGGCATTACGTGAGTCGATCTGTCTCACTGTAACAGTAAGTTGAATTTAATTGCACTTAATATTTATTGTATTGAAAAATATTATGCTTTATTATCTGTATAGTGTGGCGTTTTCTTGTTGCTCTTGTCCCTGCTACAAGTTGCCATTACCATAATAATACTCAACGATCGTGATGTACAGAACGGTATTGCTATAGTCGAAGATGCCTGGGATCATGATAAAATTGACGCACTACAAATGGAATACAAATGTTGTGGCAAGGACAGCTCACAGGATTACATACTCTTGAATCGTCAAATACCGCTGAGTTGTTATGAGGGTCAAAATGATGCGGATGCCAATAATATTTACAACGAAGGTTGCAGCGTCAAATTACAGCGCTATTATGCCAGGGAGACTTTGAGTGTTGCCGTGACCTCGTGGATAACTGCGGTGCTGGAGGTATATTTGTGAAGAAAAATATAATAAACAGCTAAGTGACTGTATAATTTTATTCCTGATTTCTTCCCCCCCAAATAGGTTGTTTGCTTTATGCTGGCCGTCCTGTTGGCCATCAATTTCCGTAATAAACAACGACGCATGCAATTCTAAATAGAGCCGCCTTGATTGCTGTGAAACAGTACAAATTTATGTCTAACGTCTCGAATATAATAAATGATAACTATTTTCGGGATTAATACTCATTCTCTGCTTGATGTACTATTTTTTTTTATTTTGTGGCATTATTGTAATTTATTTGTTGTATATTTATTGTATTCAATAATCAATGTATATTGCTGAAGAGTAAACGATTAAAGACGATGTGAGTTTAAGAATTTAGTATACAATATAATTATTTTAAAATTCGTAACAAAAAGAAAAGGTAAGCAATTCATTCGAATATTCCTTTATTATCATGTATGTATTCATCATAACCGGATAATATTGAACTGCGACAAAATTCTGCTGCAAAGAACGCCTGTCAACAAACACATGGCGAACCTTCCGGCGTCAAATGCTGAAAGCTCTCTCAGCAATTCGATATAAGAGAACTGGTGAATGGAATTTCTAGCGCCCTGCATATCGTCACAACAGAAAAATTGGCGCTCGACACATGCCTGTTTGTGTAGATACAAAGCTGGAGCTAAAGAGAAGACAGCAGTAAGATGCATTTGCAGACAAAAAATGGGAGAGACCGAAAGGCGTGAATAAGAATAACTTGAGCAGATGTCGAACCTCGGAAATGTTCGAAAATTTTATGAAAAGATAATGCTTTTCTCTGAAGTTTTCAAGTCCAGAGCATTTTCGTGTATGGGCCATGAGATAATCTCCGGGCCGACTAACAAAGTACACTGAGTTTATATAGGAGCACTTCTCCAGCTTACTGTATGCTACTGAAAGTGTAACACCCATTGATTGTGAACACGAAACGACAATCGATGATGGTGGAAATGATGTTAAACCTTGGTCTATCGAATGATAACTATTCAGATATCTGGGCGAAGTACTGAAAAAATGCACGCCTCAGTTTCTTTGCAAAATTTAATAAAAATAAGACGGCAACCCTCATCGTTTTCTTCTCTATTCATTTGAGTTAATCGAAAATGGAAAGTTTAGCTGCTATGTGTGGGGAACAAAATGCTATCGCACAGCAACAAGCAGATCATCTTAGAGAGGAGAGATAAGTTCAAAAAAATGTACACCGATATGATTAGAATGGCGAGTTGGGATGATTTAGTCATGTACGTCTGTTTATACGTAAACTAGTGGATCTGATTTAAAATTGTTTTAACCAAGCTTGGTACACATTTGTCCGAATTGTCCGGATCGGATCAGATATACGACGGACTTTTTACGTTCAAGTTTTTGGGTAATAAATCCATGATAACGGCGGCTAAGAGCAAGAAATTTGACAATTGTCAAAAAATTCATAAAAATCGGAGCACTATATCACATGACCCCAATTCAACCGATTTGTATAGATGTGAGATCTGGATTAAAAGTCCATCCAAAAAGCATCGAAGAATAGGAAATTTTGCGTTCGGCAGACGTATAAACAAATAAATATTATCACCGAAATTCATCAAAATCGGACTATTATTCAATATAGCACTCACAAAACCGATTTGTTGCGATACCAGGTTTTGGATTAAAGACCGAAAATCATAGATATCGAAAAACTTTATTATATGAGAATTAATAATTTATTTTACAATGAAAAAATGAACCCCTTGTCATGGCCGAAGATAGTACATCTTTTTGTTATTTTATTCCACTTGGAGTAAAACTTTATACAGCTACTGTAACACCATAGTCGGAATTTTGAAATGATAACTTTTTGCTACAGATTTTTACGCAATAATTTTTGCGAGAAAAGGAATATGGAGAGTTTCTAATATTAAATATTAATTAATATTAATATTTAACGGCCAGACTATTCAACCTACTCTCTCAATTTATAAAAAAAAAATAAAAAATTTCTTTCCCAGCCACACATTATAATCAAGCGTAAATACGAGTATTTTTTATTCATTCATTTTCCTAATTTATGTTTGTTTCGTTTTATGTGACACCGTTGATTGATTTGTTTGTTTTGTTTGTACAATGTAAAAATAACCTGGCGGCGGGTATGCGAGTATGTTTTGAAATGCTTTAAAATACCTTATGAAATGGACTCCGTAAATATATAAATGCACATAAATATATATATTTTAGCAAACGAAACATATTAGCTTAAGCAGCATGTGTGGATTGGTTGTATAAATATTTGCAAAAGTCATATATAAATGTCGGTGATTTGCAATAAAGAATGGCGCGTGGGCGTATACGTAACAATACGTAACATTGGTATGTATTGTATTCATGTTTGGCATGGTGTTAATGATTTTTATTTTACGTGGCACAAAACATAACGCAGCTTAATATATGATATGTATGTATTTTGTTATATTTTTGTTTGTTTAAATATATGTACAGTAAATATATTAGAATATATGATAAAAATTGTTAGGTCGAGTAACAAGTCATGTTTTTAACCAAGTTTCGACCATTTTTAGCAGCTTTTGTGACCGCATGTCAGCATTATTGCGAATATTTACTTTCAAGGCGTCCATCGTCGAGATTATCTAAGTCGTCAATCGACTTAACATAATTCCACTAAAATGTTCCAGTGGTATTAAATCGATCTTTGAGAACACATTACACGTTCACAATGCTTGATAATGTGCTCCTCAAAAGTTTCCTTCAACAAATTGATTGTTTCGCTGGCTGTACGGCATCTAGAGCCTACTTATTGGTAGTAAAGTAAGTTCATCATCCAATTCTGGCACGAAGAAGTCATTAGTCATGTCTGTTATATCGTTGACTATAATATTATGACCGGCTTAATTTTTGAAGAAATGTGGACCTCTGCCCGGCGTCTCAACAATGGCTTATGGATTATCAACACTCCGAATGCGACAATTGCATTTATAAACAAAAAGCTTCATCGTTGAACAAAATTTTCATATGAAAATTAGAATCAGTGGCCAACGTGCTACGCTCTTATATTCATATTCATTATATTCATTATGAAATAGCAAACCAAACTGAGTATAAATTAAGTGATAGCTGTCGGTATTACCCCAATGAAAGCTCCGCGTCCAAAAAAAAGCGGATAAAAGGCTTTTATGCCTGCAATATTAGAAAATCTGTTTAATTTTACATTTATTTATCTTCTGATCTTCTTTTTCTTTATTATCATAGGCACCACGTCCACGATAAGAATTGACAAGAGTTAACATTAGCACATCAGTCGTTCGCCAATTGGAGATACTAAGTTAAGCAAAGTCTTTCTCCACTTATCTGATCAATTCTCAATTTCTGCTGCTTTTCTGCTGGCATCAATCATTTTAAAAGCCGGAATGATCTCAATCAACAGGAACTAGTAAGTGCAGTCGCTGCTTGTTTGTTCGCCGAACCAAGTTATGGAAACATATATATCTAGTACAGCTCATTATTCTATGTGTTGGCATTCATGCTTCCACATAAACTTGCAGGACGGGAATGTACTGTCATTCGGCAGGCTCGGGTTCAAATCCTGTTGTTGTACTAACATCGAAAAAAAGTTATAGAGAAGTAATTTAAATGAAAAATTAATCAATATTTTCTAAATTGCGGTCGCCCCAAATGAAATAAAAGCTCTCTTAAAAGAACCATCAGCCATTTGGTGGCGGCTTAGTAAATGGTGATTTTTTAGCTATTCTCTTTTAAAGAGCTGATGCACGCTTCATGCTTTGCATCACTGTAAAACATCAGTTTGGTATATAACCGTGAATCATTTTACAAACGAACAGCGCTGGCAAATTACTGAATTTTATTATCAAAATGTGTGTTCCGCGCGCGATTCGAAGCTCATTTTAGCTTGTTCGGTGCTTAAATAAGCACAATTGTCAGGCAGGGGCAATGCAAGAGCTACCAATACATCCAGAAACAGTCACCGTTTGGTGCAGTTTATGAGCTGGTGGCATCAATGGACCGTACTTCTTCAGAGATGATGCGAATCTCAACGTAACTGTGAATGGTGAGCGCTACCGTGAGATGATATGAAGCTTTTTTTTCCAAAATGCAAGAGCTTGACTTGAATGACATGTGGTTTCAATTAGACGGTGCCACATGCTACGCAGCACGCGTAACAATGGACTTTTTTGAAAGTCTATGTGTTTTTTTTTTGAAAAACTTTCCTATTGCTCTTAAAATTTCACGCTGTATAAGATGTAGATTCCCTCATTTGTTGGAAAAACATCAAGACGAAGAAACACAAATTCAGCGCTTACAAAGCGCCAATTATATATATTTAATCTTCCCTATTAAGGGGCACACCTAGTGTGAAATTTCAAAAAAAATCGATCTTTTTTCATATTTAAAAATAACATGTTAAAATTTCAAATCGATATCTCAAATAGTGTTTGAGTTATAACAATTTAAAGAGCAGCCGCTCGGCAGCTAGAGAGTCTCATTAGCTACGAGTGAAAACAATCATCATATCTTTAAACGCGTTTTTCTCGAAACAGCATTTTCCGAATTTCCTGCAATGATTACTCAAAAACAAATGATCCGATCTCTATCGATTTTTTTTACACGTTCTATCTATAGTTCTCCCTACAATGACCTATCGATTTTTGATCTGATCAAAAACTCGAATTTTGGCAGGCCAAAAACGACCAAAATTTTGGCTAGAATTGGACAATATTTTTTTTAAAACGACGCCATATTGTCAGTTTTTGATTTTTTTACCGTACGTCATTGTACAAACAATATTATCTAGTTTAACGAGAATTTTTTTTTTAGATTTTATCCACGGAGAAGGCCGGAATCACTGCAGCAGTGAAGGACCTTTTTTTCGCGCCGTTGGAGATCGACTATAACTTAAAAAACACCTAATTTTTTTCTTCAAAAATTTCACTGTACATTCTTGAAATATGTATAAATTATTCTTAAAATTTTGAAATTATTGATAAAGTATTTTTTTTTAATAAAAATTCCCAAAAATCACCTTTTTTTATGCCATTTCACACAAAGAGTGCAGCGCGCTTTATTTTCTTCTGAATTAAGTTAAAGAAGTCTAGTTTTCTGAAGCATTGAACGGCTCGAAGAGGCCTCTCTGAAATCTGGCATAGCCTTTGCTGTTAATTTGGGCCGGTTTCCATATCCTTTTAAGTTTTGCGGGACAAAAAACTAAATCATTGTAACGTACTCTCTACTTCCCCCCTCCAAAAAAAAAAGTCATTTGACTTATATATAAAATAAAAGTTTACTGCCGAGAATAAGTTAACGAGCAACGTGTAAAAATATA